ACCAATTCTATTTTTCACCAAACGTACCAACTGTACCTATGGTAATACATTTGGTGAAGCGGGCTTGTCTTTGTGTATCATTACGTATGCACACTTTACCACAGGGTGACCAATTCTATTTTTCACCAAACGTACCAACTGTACCAATGGTAATACATTTGGTGAAGGGGTCCCTGTCTTCGTAGGCCAATTTATCATCGGGTTGCCTGTGGTAAAGTGTGCATACGTAATGAGACACAAAGACAGGGCCCCCTCACCAAATGTATTACCATTGGTACAGTTTATACAGTTGGTGATTATTTATTCATGGCTTGCCATGAAAACCAAAATGTACCATTGGTAATATATTTGGTGATGGGAGGGTTCTAATTTATTTTTTAAATCCTTTTTTACTTAATATTCTAAATGATTACGTATGACGACATCATTCATAACCACGTCATGTAAATATTTAGTATACACACATTAAACAAGTTAATGATATGAACAAATTTTGCATGTTAATTACTTTCACCAACTGTACCAATGGTAACCCAACTTTTACCATCTGTATCAGTTCGTCTATTTTGGACAACCCTCAATTGTTACTAGTTGTTGGTGGTTTTCACGGCGGCCATGTTGGAGGAACTTAACAAAAGAATTGTCAATGAATTCTTTTGTTATGTTCTCCAACATGGCCACCGTGTCTTTTGTTATTTAATTCTCTTGGGAATGGTTGAAAACCATCAATATGCCTGAAGCGAGATGACGTTTTACCCCCCGACTCTATACCATAATATAGTTTTTAAAATTCTTTCATATTCACATTTTTGATTCCTTAGAGAATACAGGAACAATAGTCATAATTAAAGAACAAAAGCAGTGCGAAAAGGATTATGGTCTAGACACGGGGGTAAAACGTCACCTCGCTTCAGGCTTATTAAGGTTTATCTAGGATAGTTACAGTCAAAATGGCACAAGAGTACTCCCCTAGGGTCCATTAATGGTTTCATTATTCAAATATTCACATTTATTATTCTTGACAAGTCTAGAAAAACTTGGAATCTTAAGTAATATTAAACGATTCAAAATTATGAATGGCAAATTCAGATTGGATTATTCCATATRAGGAACATGAAAATCAGAATTCGAGTTTTGAATCAGTTTTTATCCGATGGAAGACCACAGGGATCCCAGTCAAATATCTGAATGGCAAATTCAGATTGGATTATTCCATATGAGGAACACCAAAATCCAATCAGAATTCGAGTCTTGAATCAGTTTTTATTTGAGATGGTAGACCACAGGGATCCCAATCCACTTACTTGTTATGTTATCCAAGTCAAGGCTTGTTGTCTGTCTATCTGCTGCCATGTGACCTGATGGTGTTAAGGTACCATCTTGATGTCTTTCTCGCTGTGCTTCATCTAGGTTATGTATTGCTAATAATAAACTGTAATCCATGATTTTAAAACTCTCTAATACCTGTTAGAATGAACAAAACAATGAAGGTTTATCTATGTTTGCAATGAATTCTGTTTGATAGATTGAAGGGTGGCATAAGAACCAAGCAGAACCCAAAGAGAATGGGGGGAAAGGGCAGAACAATGGATGGGTGAATGGATGGATGATGAATGGATTGATGGATGGGATGAGATGAATAGATGAATGGGGTGGGATGGATTGAAGAATGAGGTGGGATGGATGGAAGAATGGGGTGGGATGCATGGAAGAATAGGGTGGGATAGATGGAAGAATGGGGTGGGATGGATGGAAGAATAGGGTGGGATGGATGGAAGAATGGGGTGGGATGGATGGAAGAATGGGGTGGGATGGATGGAAGAATGGGGTG